TAATAATAATAATAAAATATTTAAAATATATTTAATAATTAAAAAAATTATTATTAATTAAAAAAAAAAAAAAGAGAAATGAGACAGAAACCAAGGGCTAGTACGACGTCGCTGTCGCCTCTGTCCAGCCCCTTGTCAGCCTCCTGACCAGCCCCCTGACTAGCTCCCTGTTCAGCTCACCTACAACCACCTTACAGCTACCCAGATCCCCCTAATTGAAGCTCCTTAAAATCCCCAGCCCCTTTCCCCTTCAGCTCTCTCGGAGACTCTTTAAAAAAAAAAGAATACCCGTTCAATCTACCCCCACGAAAACCCTCGAGCTCAGACGAACTCCCCCCTTAAAACACTCTCAACACCCCCAAACAGACCCCCATTCCCACGCATAAAAAACCAAATTTCAAACACCCCCCAAAAATACCCAAACCGAAAATGAAACAGATCTAGCCAAAGAAAACAGAAACAAAAAAAACAACACAGTCCTCCCCACAGGGAGGAACCTCAGCGTCAGAGCCACATGAAACAAAAGGGAGAAATCATCAGTTTAAGCTGTTCAAAAAAAAAAAGAAAAAGAGGAGAGATCGAAAACTTTGAAGACAGATTCGCGACTGTCAAGGACATTTTAGGCCAAACGAAGGTAGGCTCTGGAAAGAAGGTGTCGAGAGCAATTTCTGGTGACTCTCTACCCCTTTTTCGGTCACTGGCGACTATCGTCGGCGGTGACCCACACGACGGCCGGTGCAGCGTCTGACGTCGGATTTCGGGGGAAGCCAGAGAACCCCTCAAACCCCTTTTTTTTATGTGAAATGAAACAAATTGAGAACAAAAAATCTGATTTTTATAGAAAACATAGGGGCAAAACGACGTTGTTTTGAGCATAGGACTAAAATGACGCCTTTTCAAGCATAAAGGATCCGTGCGTGGACCGAACTCGACCTGAGATCCGCGTAACTCGACTCAACAACCAGCTTTAGCCTGCCTTGAACTGGTTCAGACAAACCGTCAATGAACCGATCTGAACCACTGGATCGCCTGAACTGCTGATCAAACCGCCGAATCGGTCAGACTGGCCTAGCACCGATTCATTAAAAATGGTTTGGAACCAGTATAAAGGTGAGTTAGATTCATTAAAAATGACGTAGAATGGTTTCTTTGGACTTTCCTAGCAATTTTTTTTTTAAAATAGACTTTCCGAGTCTTCTTGATTGTAATTTGGAGGAGAGAACATGGTGGGCCATTATTTTTGTCTCCTTTTCCTAATTAAAAGATGGGGTATTGAAGGCTTATTGTTTTATTTTATTTTTTTTCTAGTCATTCATGTTCCATTTGAAAGTTACATAGTTGGCAACATGCATTTCTTTCCAAGAAGACTTCCATGAGGTCTTTTTTTTTTCTTTGCCTCCTCGAACAGTCCCCTATACTCAAATGAAGATGTTGTGCTAGGCCAGACTTTTTTTTTTCCTTTTTAATGTACCTGGTCATATTCTTTATCTTTCATGTATCTCAACTTGCTCCATTTGTGTATTGGAAGTCTGCCCATTCTTAACAACTAGGCACCAACTCACATTTTGGACTTTCTTCATGCCTTTCCCCGAACATGTGAGTTCATTTGCTGGTTATACGGAGGGTGGTGAGAAATTTGAGTCAGAATTTAATATTTGAATTCGTCTCGTAGTGAGCAATTTTAATTTTTAAATTTAATAGATTTAAATTCAATTGGAGGATGGTAACACGATGGGCCAATATTATTGTTCCTTTCCCGAATCAAAGATGGCTTCTTGAAGGCTTATTATTTTTATTTTTTTCGTTGCCATTCTTTTCCATTTCAGTCACATAGCTAGCAACATGCATTTCTTTCCAAAAAGGCTTCGCATGAGGTCTTTGTATTCTTTTTCTTTTTTCCCTTATGCATTTTCGAACACTCCCCAAACTCAAAATGAGGAGTTGTAGTAGGCCAGATTTTTTTTTTAATGTACCGGTCATATTCTTTTATCTTTCATGTATCTCAACTGGCTCCATTTGTGTATTTGGAAGTCTGCCCATTCTTCTTAACAAATAGGCCACCTACTCACATTTTGGACTTTCTCTCATAGCTTTCCCCGAACATGTTGAGTTCATTTGTTGGTTATATGGAGGGTGGTGAGAAAATTGAGTTCAACCAGAATTTAGTTGTTTGAAATTTCATTTGTATTCGATCAAATTTTAATTTTTATCTTAAATTTAAATTTAATTTAAGATAAAAATCAAGTCATTTAAACTCGTTTGATTAAAACAAATTTGATTTTTATACTCAATTTTAAGTTTGATTATGTATACTCAAATTTAAATTTAAATTCAAATTGATAGATACAAGTAAAATAATAATTTTAAATTTAAATATAAAAGTTTAATTTAAACTTATAAATATAATAAAACATAAATTCATAAACTTATTGGTAAAGATAACATTAACATATTTCTATTTGTGTTTGATTCATAATAAATAAATATAAAAATATTATTCAAAATTATTTATTAAATTTAATAAATAAATAAAAATTAAAAAATCAAATATTTTCACAAATAATTTATCAAACACTCTATTCAATAAGTCTCTAAGAACCATCCAATCCCAAACAACAATGTTCTTTATTTTGTTACGTGCTAAGCAAAGCTAAGCAGTAGAAAAACAAAAAAAGAAATCCAAAACGAATATAGTCAAAGAAAAATGAAACATTTTCACAAATAATTCATCAAAAACTTTATTAGTTACGCCTAAGAACCAACCAATCCCAAACAACAATGTTTTTTATTTTGTTATGTACTAAGCAAAGATAAGCAATAAAAAAAAACATAAAAATCCAAAATTTTTGCTTCTTTCAATCTTATATTATTTTATTTCTTCAATAAAATGTATAAAGATTGGTTACATTCTTTAAAATTGAAGTATAATTGTTGAATTGAAATATTAAAAGAAATTTAATTTTCACATTTGGACCAAATTAACCTAATTTGTATCTATTTTCAAAATGTCGTTCTTGCTTTATATATATATATATATGAGATTAACTTATATCAATATAAAATATTTTACTTTAATAGTTTTTTCTAATAATTGCTTTCAACAGATTTAAGGATGAGAGAAATAAATCAAAAAGAGAAAAAATAGTTCAATCTCATCATCTCTTGGATTTATTAATATCAATAATTAGAAAAAGATATAAAACTAAAATGTTTTATACTAATGTAAGTTTATCTCTTCTCATATATATTATATACTGTTAATGTATAGATTATATACATTATTAATAAATTAGATTATGACAACTCATTAATGAGATAAATTAAATGATAACACCTCATTTATGAGTAAATTTTTAAAAATATTTTAATTTGTGTTTTTTTTTTAAGTGTTGATAGTTGTTCGTAAATGAAGTGTCATCATTTTATTTAATTATAGTGTATAAAATCTATATATTAATAGTATATTAAACATAATATTACATTGAGGTCCTAAGTTTAAGCCTCATTATGTATGTTTTTTATTCAACTTTACGTTGATAGATTGTTGAATTTTTTTATTTTAGTAACCAACATTTAGAGTCCATATAAACTTCATTGCAATTAAGTGAATATATTTCAAGGAAATCAACTGCTATGCAAGAGCAGTTGATTGCATGGTTGTTAATTTTTTTTGGTACCGGTTATACAAGTTGGTACGCTTTAATTATACCAAAATATAGTATATCTAAGGATGATTTTTTCTATCAGATTTGGTACTGGGTAATACCGGTTGTTTTTGTTAATTTCGGCCTATTTCGATGAATTTTGGTGAAATAACATGTTTCGACTGGTACATGGATGTGAAATATATTTTGTAATTTTTAACTTGTTTTTTGTTACCTTATTATTTTTAACCTAATAAAAATAAAATTAATAGACAAAATAACTTTTAAAAGTTTAGTTTCTTTATTCTTTATTTTAAATTTTTTTATACTTTATTTTTTCAAACCAAAGTTTATAAGTATTTTATTTTTTTTTCAGCAAAACAATTATACTCTTTTTATAAAATTTAACAATCATAAGGCCTTAGTTAAGTTTTTTTTATCTTTTTGTTTTTATCTTAACATTTTTATGAAAAATACTTAGTTAAATATCATACGATCAGACTAAGTATTTAAAAATAGCATGAAAAATTTATGATATTATTTCTTATGCTTTTAAACTTATTTATTTGATTTTTGAATATATTGCATATTTATTTTGTAAATTATTAATAATATTATAATATACAAATTCATATATGTTTATAAATATATTTGTATTAAACCAAAAAATTTGAAATAATATGTCAAAATAGCCACTATTGGCATATATCATATTTTTTAAAATAATTGAAACGTTATCTGATATGATATTAACAACCTTGGCTAATTGTCCCTAACAACTGCTCATGAATAATTTATGAAACTACAATAATTACTTTCTAAAAAAAAGAATTACAATAAATAATTGAATTTATGTTTGATATACTATTAGCAAATAGAGTCAGTGTCTATATACTATCAATAATCAGATAATGCCACCTCATTAACAAGTAAATATCAATTTTTAAAATAAAAGTACAAAAATTAATATTTTTTTAAAAAGACTTATTAATGAGGTAAATCATTTAATTTACTTTATTAATGAGTTAGTATCATCTAATTCACTAACAGTATAAAATATATATACTAATAGTACATTAAATATAAATCCTAATTACATTGCATGCACAACACGGCACAACGCGTTTAGCTGAGACGTAAGATTTTTGTTTAAAGTCAAATGATGCAAGTAAATTAAAATTTTGTTTTAGGATGATAATAGCATGGATAATTGAAAACTCAATCCATGTTACCTCTCTCTATAAAAGGATGGCAATTCTATCAAGAGACATAGGACATACAACAAGTTTGCCTACAAATCTGAAGAGATTAATAATCGTAGTAAGCAAAATTTCCAACTCCTCCCAAAAGGTTAAAATGGCATGTAATTCCCTACTTCCCCCTGTTGCAAGAAGGTATACTTGTTTTTTTTTTTTTTTTCTTTGAGAATGTATATACTGAATCTTGAATTTTACTTATAAACATAGTTGTCAAATAGAAATCATACTACTAAACTTTACCTTCAATAAAACGCATACTTTCAAACACATAAAGTTTCAACTTATTTGTATCAAGAAGGCCGCATAAAATTGATAACTAGTGGGTTGTTGTTACATTGTTCTTAGGTTAGAAGGCAAGGTGGCATTGATCACTGGAGCTGCTAGCGGCATTGGTGAATGCATTACAAGACTCTTTTGCAAGCACGGGGCTAAAGTTATCATTGCTGACATTCAAGATGAAGTTGGCCAATCTGTATGCAAAGATCTTGGTCATGCAGTTGCATCCTTCGTGCATTGCGATGTAGCCAAAGAATCTGATATCGAAACTGCAGTTAACACCGCAATTTCCTTGCATGGAAAGCTTGATATAATGGTAAACAATGCTGCTATTATCGACGATGCCAAACCAAGCATTATAGACAATAATCTAGCCGATTTTGAGCGTGTCATTAGTATTAATTTGACAGGCGTTTTCTTGGGAATTAAACACGCTGCTCGAGTAATGATTCCTGCAGGAAAAGGCAGCATAATTTCACTGGGTAGCGTTTCTTCTAGTGTTGGTGGAGTTACTTCTCATGCCTACACAAGTTCAAAGCACGCCATCATAGGACTCACCAAGAACGTGGCAGCAGAGCTTGGGCGGTTTGGGATTCGAGTGAACTGCTTATCACCTTACTTCATTGCAACACTGTTGGCTAATAATTTCTTCAAGCCAGATGGAGATGAAAATTTTCATGTTTATTCCAATTTGAAAGGGGTTGTTCTTCAACAAGAAGATGTGGCTGAAGCTGCGCTGTACCTGGGTAGTGACGACTCAAAGTATGTGAGTGGTCACAATCTTGCAGTGGATGGAGGGTTTACCACTATCAATCCAGCTTTCGGCTTGTTTGCGGCATCACTGTAGATTTTCTCGTCATGTTGATGCTCCACTCCCAATTCCCATGGCAGATGCTTTTTTGCCTTGTCTTTTGTTCAGTTCATTGAGTTCATTGTAATTTTCCCTTTCCCAGATGTTGCTTTCAATAAAGTTTATCTTTATCAGACAAACTGTCATTCCTGGTTATGTGTTACTAATTTTTTGTAGATATAGTATTGTTATTGCCCATGAAAAGGTAGAAATTAATGTTTTTTTTTTTCCCAGAAAGAAAAGTGAAATGAATGTTTATAATGGCGTCATCCATGGATATTAGACTTCTTGCAAGGATAAAAGAACTGAAAAATAAATTTCAAAGAGTTTTTTTTTTTTTTTTTCTGCTACGAAAGTTCTCTTGGAATAGGGCATTTTTGCCCTGAAAGTACAAAACAGCTTGATTCCTTTTTCAATTTCTAATAAAAAAAAAAGGAAACTACTATAATGTATAAGATTGTTTTCTCATATTGTACATGTACATCCTCTCAAACTCGTAAAAGGTGGAAGGAAAACTTCTATGGAAAATGAGAAGAAAAAAATAAAGCCAAGCAAAAGTGACAATGAGGGATAAGCCCAAGACATGATTAAAATACAGCTATTTCGGGGTGAATTGTTCTTGGTATAAGGCAGGTACTATCTGGAATCAGCACTAACATATTCATGGATAGATTTGAGACCATTCCATTCTAAGCACTTAGCAAGTTCAGCCAGAGGCAGTCTCTATGGCTTGGTCGGTGATAATTGTCTTAAGAGATTTTTCTGGCTTTGTTATGCGAATTTTTTTTGGATTGCTGGGCATTCAAGTTGTTAATGATGATGAATGGTGGCAATTAAAATGGCGCTGCAGCCTGAATCCAGACTTTGGAAAAATGGGATATTGTGAATGCGATTGATAAGATTAGCAATGAGAATAGAGTGGCTGATTTTCTTCATATGATTTAAAAAGATAGGTTGTTTGCTGGCTCTTTAGTTAAGTGGGGGTAGATTTCTCTGGTTTCTTTTATTTTTAGGGGAAAGCCGATTTTTTTTTAGGAGGTGTCGGTCCGAGCAGTGTTTGGTCCTTTGAGGAGTTTGCTTTGCCTTTATTATTAATTAGAACCTGGCTTCATGTATTGATACTGTTGGTGTCGAGTTATGAGATGAGGGATAATACCTTGAAATTACAAAAGAGAAAGAGAGTGATTAAGAGCAAATGTAGGGGGTGTTTCCTATGTTTATATTCTGATACTCAAGTCAGAGGTTGAGACAAGAGAGGCAGGAAGGAGAGAGAAATAGGAAAATAAAAAAAAGGTTAGATCCAATTGATAGTACCTGGATAACTTTATTTATAAGCAAAAGGTAAGGAGTTTGTGGGATAGGATAATGACGTAGCTGAGCTGACATGACATTGTGCATGTCCGGTCAACTTAACATGTCAAGTCAGCCCAAAAGTAAAAAATGCTCCTAGTTGTTTGCTAATAATCTTTTTTAAAGAAAATAACCAATTTGCACTTTTGACCTAAAAATCCCCTAACATTCTGTCCTTTCACTGAACAATCTGAGTATCAGACTGATTAGTGTCTAATTGAGCCCATCTGACATACACATCCGCTAGTTTGACCTTAAGTTTTTTAAGCATGGGTTTTCAAAAATTCTTGCCTTGGACCCAACCTCATGTTGCTAAGGCTAAATGTTTGTATGGCTAATTGAGGGTCATGTGAAAGAGGTTTATAACTGATTGTAAGCTGTTGAGTGTACCCTTGGTTGCTCTAGAGTGTGCCAACCTAACATGTGAGTGTGGGTGTCGAGCCTGATCTTGAGAGTGGGTTTCGGGTTATACATGTAGCTAGCCCATTCTGGGGTTGCCAAGGTGAGTAATTTTATGTCAAAGAGACCCAAGGTTAGGCTAAGAAAAATTGTAAGTGGCTACTGGCGTGACTTATACGTTTGACATGAGACTTGTATTTTTTGTTGGTGTTAGAGTTTGATTATCAAGTCTAACTTAAGGTTGACTTGTTAATTGGTCTGGTCGATCAGTCTACCTTTGGTTTTGTGATTGGTTTGGCCACTTTAATTAGGTGGAATGATCTATTTGTCCTTTTTTATTTGAAAATCACAATAAATGAAAAGATAGGTATTTGGGCAATAAAATCTAGAGTAGGAAAAGCAAAGGATTATCTTTAGTAATTGTTCGAACACGTGGCACAATCTGAACTATTCATTTAATCTAAATGTTGGCTATATAAAGGGTCTTTCGAGGCCATCATTTTTCACCTTACTATCTTTTTTCTCTTAAATTGACTTGTTTTTACTGACTTTAAAGTTCTTACTTTCTTTCAATTGACCTTTTTTCCTTTTTATTTATGAACGTTTTCTTCCTTTTCTTTTTTATAATGTCTTCTAGTATGAGTTTTGAGATTCAATAAGTTACAAGGTAGTTCCTAAGAGAGGTCGGCTCGATATTAGATATGACAATGATAGAGTCCTCCCAATCATTGTAAGAAGAAATTACTCAAAGGCTGCATTCTTAATAAACTTAATGGCCAAAGAAGAACAAAAGAAGGTAAAGGATAATGTTCATGTTAGAGGAGAATAAGTCTATCAGAGCATATATGATGTCATGGATGCCATCAATTTTGAGCTTAAGAACCCTTGAATTAGATCAATCTAGCATCTTTTTTTTATTGCTTTTTCGTTCGAGGTCTAGCTTTCTATTCTTTCTTCCTCTATTCTTTTTTTTGGATCAACTCTAGTCGACGTTCCTTATTTCTTTTCTATATCTAAGGAGTGTCATTTTCTTTTTTTTTCTGTCATTGTAGTACTCTCCGTCATTGTTTTTGCTTGGAATCCTACTCTTACTTGGGAGTTTAAGTCTTCCATCGATGAAGACTATAATGACAAGGAGGGTTCTGAATGAAAGTAGGAAAAAGAGACCAACCAGCCAAATAAGGTGAAGAAAAGGAGTAATGCTCATTAAATTTAGTAGGCTTGGCATAGGTCCACTTCTATACTTATTGTTCCTTAGGTTTAAACCTTAAGGATGTGATGAAAAGCTTAAAGGGTGGGGCTAAGCTTGAGGACTACCTTAAAATATGTTCTACTTATCACGTTCGATTTTTGAAGGTCAATTTTAGCCTTTAAAAGAGGGGTATAATATATTAATATTGACCATCGAGAATTAAGTTACTTCTTTCTTAAAAAGTCACCAACTCTAGGTGTACTGAGATTTTGTAGTGGCGGATCTAAGGTTCTTTTTACATCTTTTTATTTTTGAATTTTTCCTTTCTTACAATTTAATTACCATTCAGCTTACTCTTTATTCTTTCCGATACATAATAGCCTTCATCATTCTTTATAGTAACTTAGACATTATTCATTCATTCCCTCTATTTAGGAAGTTTTTCTCCATTAAAAAACTTACACATGATAGTAGGTGCTTTTACATCACAGTTTATCTAGCCAAAAAGATTTTTATGGACTATCTAAGCTCAATAAAAAATTAAAAACTACTTTTCCTCTGTATTGAAAATGTGAGTAAGACTAAGGATAAAAATAAAGATCTTGAGGTGTGGGAAATTTTAAATGAGCTTGGCATTTTTGAAATGAGCCCACTCAATTAACATTGAATGACTTTGTAGCTCGAGACAAGATCTTTGATTTCACCAAGAAAGGAGAGTTGGTCATTGATGCATACAAGTTGACTTCCTCTAGAGAATTGATAATGCTAGATACTGAGGTAGGTTTAAGGTAACCTCGTAGGGTATTTAGTTTTATAAATTTTTTTAATACTTAACTTATTTTGCAGTTATGTCTGACAATGCCCAACCATTCAAGGCTTTTAACTTTCACAAGTTCTTTCACCAACTGTAACTGAAAAAGGGCTAAAAACAGTCCATTTAGCTAAAGGCTCCCTCCAAGGGGAATTAAAATAATTGATCCCTTGGTCTTTCAAAAGTCGAGCTTTGCAAATTAGGCTTCCGTCAAAGCCAAAGGCAAACAAAAAGTGATGGTGGGTCAAAAGGTCATTCCTTTTAAAAAGTAAAAAATCGAGGCCTCTCTTCCATAGTGAAAGTCCAAATTTTAAAGCTCACTTTAGATTGTTTCTCCACTAGCTTAGAGTATGATGCTAGTGAGAATCCTTTTGAAAGTGTTGACATGGAGAAGAAATTTACGAGGGTTACAGTCCCTCAAAAGAGTAAGTTACCTTTAAGCTTAGCTTTTATATTATTTGATGGATTTTACTATTTTTTAAGTATAAGCTTGATTTTTTCTTTTTGTAGTTTCAAAAAAGCTTCCAACCTTTCCCTCCAATACAGCTAATAAGGGCATGCACCATACCTACTTAGCTTTGCCTGCTATCTGAAGGCTACGTAGGACCTAAAAAAATTTGCTTAGGATAATTAAAAGAACATAGACGTGATTGCTAAGCTCTTAGCCAGTCTCTTTGTGTTGTATAAGAAATAAAAGGAGTAAAGGAAGAAGGTTGAAGACTTGGCAATCAAGCTGAAAGAAATACAGGTCTAGAAGGCCTCAACTAAGTCCATAAAAGAACAAGCTAAGCTCAAACTCAATGAGGTTCAAGTTCAGATTGTTGAGCTATGGTTTGGGCTAGAAGCTAAACAAAAGGCTAAGGAAAAGGCCAAGGAGAGGGCAAAAAAGAGATCATCCAAGAGTTTATGACCTCCATGAGGTATTCATCTTCAAGTTGAATTCTCTAAAGAGAATGTCCTTGGTGCCTTTAAGCTATTTAAGGATGATATACTGTTCAACTATGCAGGTCTAAACCTTGACTTTTTCGATTAGTCTAAAAGAGAAAAGGAAAAAAAAGATAAGAATGTAACTGTGGATGTTAAGCTTAAGACTATCCTTAGGCCTAAAGCTGAAGAGTGATCTACTACTGTCACTACTAAGAAAGGGAGACTAAAGAGGATTAAGGGCTTTCTTGTTTTTATTTTTGCTAAAATTTTTTTTTTGTATATCTCTAAGATCAAGATTTATTTTTATCTTAGGTCAGA